TGGAGGGATTGGCAGAGAGGACTTGGGGATGGAGTCAGTGGAGGGATTGGCAGAGAGGACTTGGGGATGGAAGCCAGTGGAGGGATTAGCGGAGAGGACTTGGGGATGGAAGCCAATGGGGGGATTGGCAGAGAGGACTTGGGGATGGAAGCCAGTGGAGGGGTTGGTGGAGAGGACTTGGGGATGGAAGCCAATGGAGGGATTGGCAGAGAGGACTTGGGGATGGAAGCCAATGGTGGGATTGGCAGAGAGGACTTGGGGATGGAAGCCAATGGTGGGATTGGCAGAGAGGACTTGGGGATGGAAGTCCAGTGGAAGGATTGGCAGGGAGGACTTGGGGAGGGAGGCCAAGGGTGGGATTGGCAGGGGGGACTTTACTTGGGGATGGAAGCCAATGGTGGGATTGGCAGAGAGGACTTGGGGATGGAAGTCCAGTGGAAGGATTGGCAGAGAGGACTTGGGGATGGAAGCCAATGGTGGGATTGGCAGAGAGGACTTGGGGATGGAAGCCAATGGTGGGATTGGCAGAGAGGACTTGGGGATGGAAGTCAGTGGAGGGATTGGCAGAGACGACTTGGGGATGGAAGCCAATGGAGGGATTGGCAGAGAGGACTTGGGGATGGAAGCCAATGGAGGGATTGGCAGAGAGGACTTGGGGATGGAAGCCAGTGGAGGGATTGACAGAGAGGACTTGGGGATGGAAGTCAGTGGAGGTATTGGCAGAGAGGACATGGGGATGGAAGCCAATGGAGGGATTGGCAGAGAGGACTTGGGGATGGAGTCAGTGGAGGGATTGGCAGAGAAGACTTGGGGATGGAAGCCAATTGAGGGATTGGCAGAGAGGACTTGGGGATGGAAGTCAGTGGAGGGATTGGCAGATAGGACTTGGGGATGGAAACCAATTGTGGGATTAGCAGAGAGGACATGGGGATGGAAGTCAGTGGAGGGATTGGCAGAGAGGACTTGGGGATGGAAGCCAATGGTGGGATTGGCAGAGAGGGGTTGCAGGCACTGAGCAGTGAGGTGGATGAGTCCGGGCAGTAGCATTTATGATGGACTGAAGGGGGGATAGTCTGTGTAGAGATAGACCAGCGAGGCGAGAGATAACAGGAGAGTGAATTAATAGCTTGGTGATGTCCCTGGTCAGGAAGGGGCGAGTTTTGGAAATGTTATGTAGGTGAAGGTGGCATGATCTGCATAATGCGTACAGCAAAGGTGAGTATCAGAAGGA